GCAAACATAGATACCAGAGACAGTGTGGGAGGAGAGTGGGAGATGGCAGAGGGTAAGAGATAGGGAATCAAGAATGGGGGGGGGGGAAGCAAAACATACAGAAAACAAAAAATGGAAAATTATTTGCTGACAATAACATGTTTGTTGATGTGCTTGATTGAGACAATATACAGTGTACTCTGGATGGAAAATCTCATTTTGTATGCTGTGATGATGTACAGTGAATGAATGCAAATAAATTAATTAATTAATAAAAAAAAACCTTTCAGCCCTATTGTTCTGTGATTCTAAAACCCATCTAGTAAACTGGCAGTTGGTTGGTCAAATCGGCCAAGTATCTTATTTCACGAATATTTTTAAAAATTATTTCATTTAATTTATTATTATTATTTTTAAATTTGACCAGAGAGAGAAAGAGGGTGAGAGAAAGACAGAGGGAAAGTGAGAGAGCAAGCCTCTAGGTTTAGGACTAGAACTGTGGTTGGCTATGTGGGAGTCCAGCACCCTAACCACCAAGCCATCTGCGAGCTCCCATCACAAAATATTTTAAAATTGTCAGCTTAGTTACTGAAATTTAAAAATCAGGAAACTTCACGTAGAAGATAGACAGCATCACTACGTTGGATGGGAGCGGTAGCTGCCCCTCCTCACGTGGGACAGGCACCATCTTTCCTAATGGCGTCCCTCATTTGCACCTGCCTGGCCCCACCCAGGGAGACTCTGTAACCCCTGCTCTCCCTTCCCTGGTTTTCCTCCCCCAGCTGCCCCGGCATGGACCACATACTCGCCTTCATCAGGGGCGTTCTTGTCCCACACAGACCACATCTGGACACTGAAGAAGGGTGCCCAGCAAGCAATGTAGGCCAGCACGATGACGAAGGTCATCTTCACGGTTCGGATCTTGGCCCGCGAGATGGTGCTGATGCTACTGACCCGGGAGGGCATCCCCCGCATGGCTGCAGCTGGAGCAGAAGGTGAGGACCTGTCCCAAGCCCTCCAGCCCCTTGCTCCTACCCTCCAAGCCTGTGTCTTGACTTTCAGGTTCTTACAAATCTCGTGGCAGATGAGGCTGTAGCAGACCGTGAGCATGGCCACAGGCAGGACAAAGATAGCCATGGCGGTCCAGGTGATGTAGGCCCGTGGCCCCCAGGGGAAGCGGAAGTCCGCCCAGCAGTCCAGCACCCCCGAGCCCTGGATCACCTCCCGCAAAGAAAAAATGAAGACTTGAGGGAGGCTGAGGATGGCAGCCAGCAGCCAGGGAGCAGCGATGAGCGGGTAGCTGGACTGGCTGGGCTGCTGGAGGCTGCGCAGTGGGTGGCAGACGGCCAGGTAGCGGTCCAGTGTCATGGCCAGCAGCATGTAGGTGGAGGCGAACATGCTGAGCCCTTGCAGGTACTTGACAGCCCTGCAGAGGAGGTCTGGGCCTTGGAAGCGGTAGGTGATGTCCCACAGCAGCTGGGGCAGCACCTGGAAGAGCGCCATGCCCAGGTCGGTCAGGGCCAGGTGCAGCACAAACAGGTGCATGCGCGAGCGCTTCCGGCCCGCCTGGCCCAGGCTCAGCAGCACGGCCAGGTTGCCCCCCATGGCCAGCAGCAGGACGGTGGCCAGCACTGCGATCTCCGCCTTGGCCAGCTCCTCATCCCTGCCCAGCCAGGGTGTGGTAGAATTGGGGGCAGAGAGGGTGCCCCTAGGAGCAGGGCTGGCAGCAGCAGGAGGCCCAGGATCCATGGTCAAGCTTTGCCAGGAGGGAGGAGAAGAGGGAGAAGGAAGGATGGAGGTTGGGGGTGCAAGTGGGGAGGTTTGATGGATAAAATGGGCGGCTAGGGCAAGGTTTAGGGTGGAGGGGGAAAGGGTGAAGATAAGGAAGGGAGAGTACTTGAAAACAAGTGGAAATGGTTCAGAGCACAAGGTCAGAGGAGCGGAGGTGGAATGAGATAAGGGAGGAGAAAACACCACCGGGGAGGGGAGTCCAACGAAAAGAGGAGGGGCCTGGGAGGCAGCTGCGGAGTTGAGAAGAATGGATGAGGTTGTGCGAGATGAGGCTTCTGGAAAGGAAAGAAGGCTGAGGAAGCTGCCCCACTTCCAAATGCACCCCAAATTCACTTTCTCCAAACTTTTCTGCAAGCAGAGAGCGAAAGGCCCAAAGCCCTCTTGGAGACTGGGAGTCCAACCTAGCCCCAGCCCAGCCTCAGCGCAGCCGCAGCCGGTGCTCTGCCTGAGCAGCTGGGACAGCCAGCGGCGGTGGGAGCGCAGCGGCTCTGAGCGGGTTTTATGTGTTTCCAGCCTGAGCCCAGTGGCCCTCCGCTCGCCGGTTGGCTCCAGAGGAGGGTGGAGTGAGACTCACATGCACCCACCCGTCAGGAGTACCAAGAGTCTGGCTGGGAGAGGAGGGGCGCGGGAGGAAGGAGGGACAGAGCGGGAGGAGGACCAGAGATGGGGAGCTAGGGAAGCTAGGGGGCAACACAAGCAAGCGCTCACCAGCCGGCAGGACGCACCGACCCCCCGCACCCAGGCAGACAAACGCGTCTAAGCTCCCACCCCGGGGCTCCCTGGGCTGTCTCCGCACAGGTGCACACGTGGGGTGGGGTGGAGAGGTGGTCACTCTTCCCAACCACACCGGGACACTGGCTGGCTGCGCTATTGCTTTCATCCTCTGCCCTGCGTTCCTGTTAGCCTGAGGAGGACTCAGAATCTTCGGGTGTGGCCCGGTGGGCGGGGCAGCGCCCCCAGACTGACCTCGCTTGCCCGCCCACTGGTGGGGAGTGCGGACTCCCAGGGCGACGTTGAAAAGGTGAGAATGAGGAGGGAAGGCAGTGAGGGGAGGAGGGCTCTGGGAGGGGGTGAGGGAAAGCGTTGGACCCAAGAGCCCTGTGCACCAGTCCGGGCGGAGGACGCACAGACCGCGTCTGGGCTGTGCGGTCAGAGGAATCTTACCTGTCTCTCCTGAATGCCTCCGCGCACTAGGCGCGCCCACCATTCTGAACGCAGCTAACCACCCTGTGAAGTAGAAAACCGAGGCCCAGAGAGGTTACACAACTTGCTCTAGAAGGTCACAGAAAGTGAGCAGCAGAGACAGGACTAGAACCGACCCAGCGTGCTGCTCCGATAGCCGGGGCATTTCCTCTACAACCAATCTGATGGACATCCGCTGCGTGCAGCCACTGGGACCAAAGGAACAAGTGAAAAGGAAACACCACCGGCACCACCCAGCTCCGCAGAGAAGGGGTTGTGTAGCTGCGTTTGGAGTCTCTCTGGTTCCAGAACTGCGCAAAGTGAACAGTTGGGCTCCCTAAGGGCAGATTAGAAGTTCCTTGGAAGTGACAACGGCGTGGTTCAAGACTTCCAGAAAGCGCAGAGTCTAAACTGTGAAGCAGTCCTTTGGTCTTGCCTTTTAATCAAACCAAACCCCCCTTTATCACGTCACCTGCCCATGCCTCCAATTAGTATCATTTCTTGAAGGGTCTGTCTCCTAAACAGACTACAAATTCGTTGCCTGAATTTCATCCCACGGCCACTATCCGTTTCTCATGTAAAAAGGGCAGCATCCTCCCCTTGTGCTCTGCAACTGAAGCTTCCACCTTCTGGAGGATTCTCTCTCTGTGAGTGGTTATGTCCAGTGTCCTACTCAGTCATTCCATCTGCACATGGACAACCTCTAGTATCCGTAAAAAAAAGAAAATTGTGCTTCGTGAAATAAGCCAGGCACAGAAAGGCAAACATTGCATGAGACTCACTCACATGTGCAATTTTTAAAACATTAAACTCATAAAAACAGAGTAGGATAGTTACCAGGGACTTGGGGGGGGGGCAGAGCTGGGGCAGAGAAGGAGTAAGGAGAGATGTTGGTTAAAGGACACAGAGTTTTAGTAGGATAAGGAAGCTACGTTTTCTTTATTTATTTATGTATTTATTAATTTTTTTTAGTTTTGCTATAGGGCATGTGCACTCACCAGAGACTAGAGTTGGGGTGTGGGGTGACATCATCATCTCCAGGGGGCATGGCCATGATGCAATGATCCCTTCTCTTCCATTCTCCTCTCAGGATTTTGGGCATATGCGAACATGTGCCCAGTGTGTTCTCCAGTTGCCAAGTCCAGGACTCGAACCTCACAGTCAGCCATACGGGATCCAGTGCCTTAACCTCCTCCATGCCACCTGCTGGCCCATCTGGAAATCTATCTTATAGCACAATGACTATAATCAATCATGCATAATACATCTGAAAATTGCTAAGCATAGATTTTTAATGTTCTCATTCCTAAAAACAAGTGTGTGAGGTTATTAATATATCAATCAGCTAAGTTTAATCATTGTACCAGGTACACATATATCAAAACATCATGTTTCACATCATACATGCATGTATATATCTAATTGTCATTTGTCATGTATATATCTAATTGTCATTTGTGACCATTTTTATCTTAAGAATTTGGGAACCAGCAGTTAGCGTAATGGCTATGTTGCTGGATTCCCACGTAGTCGACAGCAGTTCACGTCCCAGACCCGGTGGCTTAAAAAACTCACGTCGGGCGCGTGTGCGTGTGTGCCCAAGATCCCGAGAGGAGAATGGAGGACTAGGGATTGCAACATGGCCATCCCCCCTGGGGGGTAATTTCTTGCTCTCTGTCTCTCCCTGTTTTTCTGGTGAGTGCATGTGGCCTATAGCAAAAACCTCTCAAAAAAACACAAAATACTAGCTAACTGGGAGGCTGGGGCAGAATATCTCAACAGCAACCCCCTGTCTCCCCCTCCTCCTGCATGCATACTTCCTCCTTCTCACTAGTAATAAAAAATAATATCTTAGTACAGTTTTAATCTGTATGCCTTTGAGGCTGGCAGGTGGTGTAGTGGTTAAGGGCACTGGACTCCCACGTGGCCGATCGTGGTTTGAGTCCTAGACCTGGAGGCTTGCTTTCTCACTTTTTCTCTCTTTCTCTTTCTCTCTGTGTCTCTTTCTCTGGAAATATTAAAATAATAATAATAAATGAAGTTAAATAAAATAATTCTTAAAAACAATGAGTAATACATTGTTATTTTCAATCCATCTTTTCACATTTTTAAGAGTCATTTGAATTTATTTTTCTAATCATTGTTGTTATCTCTAATTGATTTGTCTGTGATTGTTTACCATTTCATTCTCTTTCCTTGGGAAATTTCATATACTTTGGTAATTAGCCTTTGTCTAACATTTAAGCTGCAAGTATGTTTTCTCATTGATCTTTTTTACTTGACTTGTGGTATTTCTTTTCTTTTTAAGAATTTTTTTATTTAACTTTATTTATGTATTTATTTATTTATTTATTTATTTATTTTAATTTGACCAGAGAGGGACAGAGTGATAGAGAGAGAGAGACAGAGATAGAGAGACAGAGAGAGAAAGTGAGAAAGCAAGCCACCAGGTCCAGGACTTGAACCACGGTCAGCCATGTGGGAGTCCAGTGCCCTTAACCACCATGCCACCTGATGGCCCTGACTTATGGTATTTCTTGACAAACAAAAGCCACCATTTAAAATTCATTCAATAGGGGTTGGCAAGTGATGTAATGGTTAAGGTACTAGACTCCCACGTGACCAATTGTGGTTCAATCTTGGACCCAGCAGTTTGAAAATCACACCAGGAGGAGCCAGCAGATGGGGGAACCAGGAATAATGGTTATGTTGCTGGACTCCCATATAGTCAACTGTAATTAGAGTCCCGGTCCAAGAGGTTTGAAACTCACACCAGGGGTGTGTGTGTGTGTGTGTGTGTGCATGCGTGTGTGCCCAAAATCCTGAGAGGAGAACGGAGAAGCAGGAATTGAGGCATGGCCATATCCCTTGAGGGAGCGATTTCTTGCTTTCTTTCTCTCTATCTCTCTGGCAAATGCACACGCCCTATAGCAAAAATCTCTGTCTTGAAAAAAAAAAAAAAAAGGGAGAAATCAGCAGATGGTGTAATGCTTATGTCACTGGACTCCCACATAGTTGACCACAGTTCAAGTCCTGAACTCGGCTGCTTAAAATTCACACTAGGCACGTGTGCGTGCATGCCCAAAATCCGAGAGGAGAATGGAAGAGAAGAGAAAAAAAAAAAAAAAAGGGGGAATCAGCAGTTGGGGTAATGCTTATGTCACTGGACTCCCACATAGTTGACCACAGTTCAAGTCCTGAACTCGGCTGCTTAAAATTCACACTAGGCACGTGTGCGTGCATGCCCAAAATCCCAAGAGAAGAATGGAGGAGAGGATTGTGTCATGGCCATCGCCCCTCAGGGAGTATTTCTCATTTTCCTCTCACTGTCTCTCTCTGGCAAGTTTATGCACCTATGGCAAAAACAAACAAACAAACAAACAAACAAACAAACAAATTTATCCAGTAGATTTGTTTCTAAAATAGCAAACATATATGGCCATTGCTTGATTTTTTAAATTTTTTTTGAGATTTGTTTTTTTAATTTTCATTTATCATCATTGTTCTTCAATTTTATCCAGTAGATTTGTTTCTAAAATAGCAAACATATATGGCCATTGCTTGATTTTTTAAATTTTTTTTTGAGATTTGTTTTTTTAATTTTTATTTATCATCATTGTTCTTCAGTTTTGACCAGAGAAAGACAGAGAGAGAAAGGGAAACTGAGAAAGCAAGCTGCCAGGTCTGGGATTTGAACCGCGGTCATTCATGTGGGAATCCAGCACCTCAACCACCATGCCACCTGCCAGCCCTGATTTTTTTAGTTTTAAGCTCTGTTAACCTTCCCTTTGGTAGATGAGCAAAGAATGCCCTTCTAATAGAGGCCTACCACTCACATGCACATTTCCTGTCCCACCACCTTCCCAGGATAGTCACGAGAACAGTGACCTGGAGGTCCTAGCCTGACACTGATGTTGTATGAACTGAAAATGGAATCTTCTGGGAATAATAAAAATTGTGTAAAGTCCATGCCCCAAATATTTAAAAATAAGACATGATTCATCCTTAAATAATCTAATCATTTACAGAAAGATTTGAATGTTATTAACTTACAATAGTAAACTAAGAGGCACAGACATCAAAAATCAAATTGCTTGGCGTCATTTCATTTGAAGAAGAGAGAAGCATTCTATTTTTATATAATCAGCTTGTACACAATATCTTCAGGAACAGATTTATCATGGAAAAATAAAATTGGGGCTGACTT